TCAAGTAAAGTACCTCGAAATTGTACAGCACTTGAGTATTTTAGTTACTTTTCACCACTGCAGATGACACCAGCAAAAAAATGTTGATACTCGAAAACATTTTCGACTACAGTTTGGGCAGCCTGTTGCCTTTTGGTAAAAATCTGATTAGAGTGCCTTTTCAGGGTATGACATAAGTTTCACTAATGATACAAGGTTAATATCTGGATTTGCATAGCTCCGTGAGCATCACTGCATCTCCGCTCATCCATGATGGGAAGAGCTGGAGGGGCATCAGGTGTGCCTCTTGTGCAGGCCTCCCCTTCAGCGTGGTGTGTTAATCCAATGTGAACACGCAATCCTTGACACAGATCCACAACTCAGAGGCCAGCCATGTGGCTTCACATCAGTACCTCACATCAACAATGCATGTGGGCGAACGCATCAACACTTACACAGGCAGCATGTGAGAGTGTGAAATCAAAAGCCCTGTCACTCACACACTCTGTAGTTTGTCATGCAAAGAGGCTGCGAAATAGCTTTTATACTCTTCACTGCAAAAAATAATGGGTAAAAATGGCACTTCTTTATGGTTTGTGGCGTGAAAACGGACGAGAATAGGGGTTGTTAGTGGTGGACACAGAAGTACTTCAAAAGCAGCAGACGGACAATAAACAATAGAAAGACAGACAGTAAACGTATCAGTTAACCAGTCAGCCTAGACGGACACGTCATACACTGTGATCAAAGCCGAGGCAGACGCCAAATCCTCCCTTCGTGACATAACTAAATGTTTCAATTTACGTGGATTTATATGGACGTCCTAGCTACTGGGTTAATACTGTATTACTATGAGCTCTATTTCAATTACACAAACAGAGTCAGTAGGCCAGTAACACTGTGCAGCCTCTCTCCCTCTCTGTCATTCTGTCTCATCTTAGTCCAGACCATCTGTTACAAACACAGCTCAAATAATGTGGCATGAGGCTGACATATAAGTTACCTCTGTTATAGACTATAACTGACACACACCTCGCAGTAAACTAAAGCCAATGGGAGATGAGCGTGAACAGGTGCAGCTCTTTCCAACGTGCAGCCCGATCCTTTGAAAGTAATTGCGTGCTGACGGTTGAAACCCTCTCAAGTGTTGGGGACAGGATGCAGGAGCAGGAGCTATGTATAGGGCAGGCGCTAAAGCATGCATGCACCTATAAGAATACATGCAACACATAAAGGCAGCTTGAGTCATCAAATTGTCATCAGGTTTCTCAAGTCAGCCCACTCTGATGTGACAGCACACTTCATAGATGGAGTCTCACTTAACTATCAGCCTTTCCACACAGTCTCTCTCTCTTTGTTACTGAAGCGCTCAGTCGCTCTGGCACTTTTTAAGACATCTAATATTTCCATTTCTATAAGCCAAGTGTGGAGAGTCAAGAGCAGAGGAGACACATTCATTGAGGAGACAAGGGGCACTGATAACAGTACTGGAGAGGGGGCAGGGGTCTCTGACTGTTACATCCACAAGATCATGAGTGACACGGAGGCCTGGCGGCGGGGGGGGGGTCGCCAAATACATAGGCAAAGAGAAATGGGTTATGCAACTTATTATTCATTTGTCTCTAGCCTTATTTCCATATTCTTTTGTTGGAGGAGCTTGATAGGCCCAAGCATGCACCTGGCACTTCCATGCCAACAAAGTCCTATCTGATGTGCTGCCACAGTGGCACACACAAGCATCTACACAGACAGACAAACACACACACAGATGTGCTCAGACTCAATACAAAACACACAAAATTAAAGCACACAGGGCTGTGCGAGCAGAGGGGAAAGGTGGTAATTATTCAGGGGGTCCCAAGCTGGAGGTGGAACCCCAAAAACTGAGAATGAATCAGACTTTCTGAAAGTGCAGCGGCCTTCCGTGCCACTGTTTCACACGTTGTCAAAGTGGCCGGCGTTCCCAAAGAGTCACATTCTTAAAGAGCTATTACAGAAGCATACCAAGTGTCCATCCTTCACTTGTGGACTCGTTATGAGCACATGATGCGAGCGCCGTGCGTAACTCTCCATCCCGCTATACCCATAAACACACACGTGAAATCACAGATTTAATGGGAATATATTCAAGTAAAAGTTTAGTTCTTACCTTCCTCAGCTGAATTAGGCTGGAAAAACAAACAGAGAGACAGAAAGACACTCCACATCTCCACTACAGAATGACACTGACAGAGAGAGAGGGAGGGAGAGAGCATGAAAGAGGGAGATAGAGTGAGTGTGTGTGAAAGAGCAAGAGAGGGAGGGAGAGGGGGGTGAGAGAGGGGGTGGAGTCTGTTTGCTCCCTTTATCTGAGAGAGAGAGAGAGAGAGAGAGAGAGAGAGGGAGAGAGGGAGAGGGGGGGTAGATGGATGAATGGATGAGGGAAGGAGAAAAATATTTACAGAGCAGCACATACAATAAGTACACTGCCAACTGAGGAAGTAAACAAAACACTGTTGTCACAGAGACGAGGGAGAGAAAGCGTGAGAGGGGAGCGGGAGAGAGGTTTTTTTTTTTTTATTGAGAGAAACAAAGACATAAAAAAAAAAAGCACGGGAGAGTCAACAAGAGAGAGTGACAAAAGAAGGAGGTAGAAAAAAAATTCATAAACAAGTTTTCCTGGTCTCTAAAACAACTGTCTAGACATGTCTGACAACGTCGGTTCCAGCTCTCCTCCAATGCCGCGCACACATTTCTGCAAGGCCGCCTGGCAGACTGTGCCTCAAACTGTGGCATCCCTCACATATCTGGACACTGTGCTAACTTGCATTTTTTTCAAGCTGTGGCATGCGAGAGTGCCCAACTTCTTTTTCCTTTTTTTTTTTCTTGATCCCCCTCACTTCTACCTTTTATGGAAAATGAGTATAATTTAGACACATTTTTGGATGCCCTCCATCCTTTATGTGGCTCCAGGCTTCTTCCTAACACCCCCCCACCACCACCACCACCACCACCACCACGACTCCTCTCTACCCCTCAGACACACTCCTCGTCTCACAGGACCGCTCATCCAGACAGTATCTAGACACGCACTCACACACACACACACACACACACACACACACACACACACACATACAAACACACGTAGGCAAACACACAGCAGCTGAACACCCCTCTGGCCCGTGCACGCCACTCGCTGGTCAGAGCCCAGTACTGCAGCTTGTTGATGGGCTTTCATGCCCCAGTTCACTGCAATGAGTAAGACTTTATGAGACTCTTGCAGGGAGATGTTGTTGCCTATTGGCTTGACACAGTTAGATGGCCCCATTCCCAGCCTGCCGGGGGCCCTTAACCCAAGGCTCTTTGCTCTGAGGGGCTGAGGTACAGACGGTAGAATGGAGAGGGAAATGGATAACGGTCCTCTGGCCATTACGCCATTAAAACTTTTTAATCCATTTTCAGTTTGAGCAACATGTCTGTGTTTGATATGTTTAGAGAGCTGAATGATTAGTTGATTAATCAGTTATGTGCAGTTTTTCAAAGTGGGGGCCGGAGCCCCCTTGGGGGCCACCAGGGAAGCCTCAGCAGATTTTGAGGGAGAAGGCAAGATGAGGAAATATTGCAACAACAAAAAAAAGATAATCGATTAATTGAGTAAAGTTGAAAATGGTCAAAAATCGCCGGTTCCAGCTTCTCAAATGTGATTTTTCTAATTTTTGCTTCTCTTAATGATAGTAAACTATATCTTTGGGTTTTGCACTGTTGGTTGGACCAAAAAATATATATTAATATGCTGTAGGAGCTTCTGATGGGCATTTTTTCCTGATGATGTGTCAGCAATGAGGGCAATGAAGGTAGCTAGGCTTTACTTTAAAACCAAATTCATTAATCAGTGAAATCTGAACACACAGACATAATACAGTTATTTTTAGATTTAGTGTGACTTACTCTTCCCGACGTCCAATGCGAATAAACGTCCATAAACCGGCTTATAAATGACAGAAAAAAGAGGCTCCTTATAAGGTTTTTAGGTTTTCTTCGGTATCAAAATAATAAATTGACAGTTGTCTGTATATCCATTGCTAATAAATTGCTCATTCGGCATACTTTTAATGGCGTACATTTGGCACCAAGATGGAAAACAATAAATAGGAGCACAAGTTAAAAATTAGCGCACAGCTGAATCCATGGCAACAGTATACTTCCTGTTTACATCTCCCAAAGAATTATGGGAAAATTAGAGCATAATTATCCCTAAAACAGAAGTAAGAGAGAGGATAATAATAGGAGTTACAATAACAATAATATATACCTTTTTTCATGTTCCACTATCAATGTTTTTTACATCAGTATACAATAGTGTTAGGGGTTAGAACCAGACTTTGAAAACACTGCTATATAATTTAACTGAGAAAATAATCTGTAAAATTAGTAATTATTAGTTGCAGCCCTGGTGTTTTTTAGTCTCCACATAGGATTTTATTTCCCTTGAAAGCAAGAATAACTACGCTAAACAGCTAAAATAACAGCATTGACCTGTAAAGTACATTTTCAGAATAAATCTTCTTTAGGGTAAATATTCTCTTGCATCTCGACATTTGTTCTGGTCTGGCTTCTGAAGTGGTGTGGCCCAAGAGGAAATGTGACCTCATAACTCCTCTTCACGCAAGCACTCCTAAAAACGTCAACACGATCATGAATACGTATTTTTTCTGTTCAGCAGCAGCAGGCGCAGAGAAGAACTGAGCTCTGGTTTTCAACTCACGGTTTTATTTAGGTGTTTCTGAGTGCTAGTTGGCTCTACACTGAATATTGTAACTCCACAGCTAACTGAGATTTTGCCACGGTGCAGAAAAGGAAATGGAATTGCCACAGTGCAGAAGTAGATACCAGACAAAATACCAGACAAACCTCTCACACTTTCACTTTAGCACAGGTTGCAGTTACATTAAACATTCATGGTAAGAAACTTGCTTTGACTCATAGCATTACAACCAATAAAAAACAGTTTTGGCTTATAATTCAAGTGACACATTCCCTTAAAATATGGACAACTTTATTTCCTTTTTAGTTTCTCAAACCAAGTGTCACTCATATTATTACAGCAGGAGAACAGAGGACATTATAATAGAAAAACAGTAAAGGTCATCTCTTATGTGACTCTGATCTACACTCAACCGCCGTCACTTCTCACTTCTGTCTACAACATTGTGAGATTCACCACAGTAACAGTATTTCCAGAGTGGAAGAAAAGCCAGTGGATGTAACAAAGATGAAACAGGATTATGAGAAACAAATTACAATGAAAACCATATGCACCCAAACACATACAGTATATGTACACATAAACAGCCACACACAGTATAAGCAATCATCGGAAAGTAGCCCGATTGCCAAAGTGCAAATCAAAATGCTGCTAAGCTCAAACAAAAGTGCTTCCTTGAGTGTTTGCACATCCAGAGGAAGATGCAACTGTACAAACATTGACATTTATAAGCAAGTATACTGAGCTGTAAAATTTATAATACAGCACGGCAATAATAGCAATAGATCATGATGCGGTAACTGAGATTCTACAATATATACACAGAATTTCAAACAATTAGAAACAAATACATGTGATAAGACATTTTTTGTGCGTTAAATAAATAATATCTGTTTAGTGTTTACCCAACATGACTAATATCTTGTTTGTACTGTGATATGTGTTGTCATTTAGTTATCAGTCGAATGTGTTTGAACACATTACTCAAACAACAGTTTAATACTGACAAGCACTTTTGATTTGAGAGATTGTAAGATATTTTATTTCTGTCCTATCATTCAGTAGTTACCGCTACGTACAGATGTCAAAAGACTTTCAAGTACAGTGATGGTGATGAATAAATTTTCAATGCCACAACAGTACAACACAAGCAGCCACCTGAGTTTTTGTATCCAACTGCTGCAATGCATCCTATGAACGACTGCATTACAACAATTGCTCTGTCATCCTGACTGTGCAATGAAATCCTAAAACACAACAGTTTAGGTTGTGTTTGTAAAAACAGAAAGCCTATATGGAGATTTTGTTAAGGCTTGGCAGTGCTAATACATCTCATACTTATACAAACAATATACTTGAGGCAGACAGTACCAATTCACAGAACTGTCCTTCTTGTAACTTATTTATCCGCGCAAACACAGCTGACTTCAAACAACACACAAGCATCCTCAACTCTCAGGGGACGTGGATGAGAACAAATATTTCTTATCTTCTATATGCTTAAATATATTTATTTTAAGTCTGCAGCCCCTCCTCCATGTTTGTTCTGTCTACTCGATGCAACATAGCTCCCTCCCCCTAGCAGCGAGGCACATGAGGCAGGCAGACAAGACAGCAAGTCAGTCTTTTTTGGGTCAAACTACCGAGCTCCAAAACCGGCTTTTCAAGCTTGACCTCAATACGTAAAAGCTCCAAATCCTGCAACCTTTTAACACTGGGGGTAGCTGAAGACCTGGGACTTAACACTGAACATATGTTGATGCTCTTTAATGGCAATATGCGTGGAGCTGGCACTGGGAATGTCAATAAATATTAAGTACTGGTAATTCAGTTAAGTTTGGCCCATGTTTAAAGTAGGATTACATGGAAATCTGTCAACTATTTTAGCATTTAAAACTGAATTCTTTAAAAAAAACACTGTATTTTCTTTGAAAAACATATATTAAAAAACTAAAATCTTGTTTCTGCATTAATACACTGAGCTGGCTTTTTCTAAACACACTACACTGGACCTTAATCATTTGTGAGTTATAAAATATAACTCCTTACAATATCCATATGTGCATGAAAACTGTTGTCTGTGCTGTACCCTATTCCTTCTTCTCACTAATGATGCTCATTGCTTCTGTGGTAGATCCACCATGGGAACCTTTTCCGTGGGGGACATGGGTGCAGCTTCTTTGCTCTCTGACAGGCCGACGACCACCGCCTCAGGCGCCATGGATTGGGGGGATTTCCCTGCACTGGCAGAGAATCCCTGAGCGATATCATCAAAGGTTCTTCCTCTGGTCTCAGGCACTCGCAGGAAGGTGAAGATGAAGAACAGGATGAGGAAGATCATAAAGATGATGAAGACGTAAGGACCGCAAAGTTCCTGAGAGAAGAAGAAAAAGATGTTCATAAGTGCTTGAGAAACTCATAATGTGTTTTCATCTGATGATTTGAGTGAAGTAAACGTGTTCATACCTCCAGTTTAGGGAAACCCAGCCCCACCAGGAAGTTGGCGGTCCAGTTGGAGAAACCAGAGACCGCCATGGCAGCAGGCCGGGGGCCCTGAGAGAAGAGCTCTGCCACAATAAACCAGGGGATGGGACCTGGACCCATCTCAAAACTGGCAACAAAGCCGAACACAGCCACTATGGCCAAGTAGCTTAGAGACTGGTTGGTGTTCTGCTCAGAGAGAGAAACAAAGAGAACGAGGAGAAAATGTAATGAGTATGCAATGGGGATATGCTCTATGTTCGTACACAGAAAGCTCACAGGACACGAGGTATCTACAAACGTCACCCACCACCAGAGACAGGGAGATCGTCATGAGGAGGGCACAGATAGCCATTCCAGCCAGTCCAATCAGGTGCAATGTCCTTCGCCCCGCCCTTTCAACCAGGAAGAGCTGGAGTCAAAACAGAAAAAGAGTGATTGGTAATCTAATAAATATAAAACATGCCTTGTATTAAAACAGCAAATGTGTAGTCAGACACTTACAGAGACAACAGTAAACACAGTGTTGACAACTCCAGCCCCAATGGTGGCGTAGATGGGTTGAGTAACACCAGCTGTGTCAAATATTCCTGTAGAATAGTAAAAGACCTGAAAGGGGAAAAAGAATAGTTACTATTTATTCCAGTCAATACAATTAGTGTCTATTAATGTCTTTAAAATGACATTACATTAAACCTGCATTAATTGATGATTGACATATCATCACCTTAACGTGTTACTATAAGGAGTACGGTCGAGACCTGCTCTATTTGAAAAGTGTCCTGAGATAACTTTTGTTATGAATTGGCGATATAACATTGAATTGAATTGAATTAAAATAGTTGCTAATTCATACATCCAGCAGTCACACCGAACTTTATCTGTCTGTGCTGGGTAGATAGTGTGCGGTGGGTTTTTAGAGTTTTTTAGCTGAAAAAAAGAAGCTGATGAAAGAAGTGAAGATGGATCAAAACTTTTTGCCATTTTAAGTTGAAGGCCGGAGGTGCTATAATGCTCTGTACTCATATATATATATATATATATATATATATATAGAGAGAGAGAGAGAGAGAGAGAGAGTGTATATATATATGAAATACTAATACTCTGATGATAGTGCAGGTTTAACATTTTGGAATAATTATACAGCAGAAACTGTGGCATTATGTACATCTCTACTAGCTGCTGTTCTGGTGAGTGATATAGGTCATGGGTGTTAATGTGTCTGTCAGAGTTCAATCGATGTTGTAGCCTTTAGCCTCAGGCAACAGCAGCTTTAGTGTGATTGTTGGGTCAGACACAGCAACTGCTAACGCATTTAGTCATCCTGGTTACATGACCTCATTAAGAAAATACCTATTAAATACCACTGTGTTTGTCTCTTTCCATTGACCCTGCAAGGCTTAAATTATTCCACTCAATCTAACATTGCCTGGAGCCAAGAAGCATCTGTGGTCGTGTGCTTGTCAGAAACATTTGTATAATTTCAGTGCATGCTCCTTTAAAGATTCATGTTTGAGATGACAGATTTAAAGATTGCCCTCTCACTTCAGACTGACACTTGATAATAATATCTCTAACACTCCATTATTGGATTTGATGTTTACTCACAGCGTTGATGCCGGACAGCTGCTGAGAGAGCTGGAGGACGATAGCAATAATGATTGGTTGACGGTAGTTTGGGGAGCGGAAGAGTTCAGGGATGGTCACTTTCTTTTCCAAGGCCATCTTCATCCCTTCTTCCTTCATCTCCTCAATATCATCGCTCACATCTTCACAGCCGCGCAGACGCACCAACGCTACAGATAGAAGAAGGGATGGTTGAATAAAGACGCAGTAAGTACGTCATGCAAATATAATGTATAAGGAACACTGGAGAGGTCTTGGAACATGTTTAATGGTAAATGTTTAATAAATCACATCTACAGGACCTGCTTCATCTGCAGATCATTCAAAATTCACGAGTAATTCTAGATTCAGTCTCATTAAAATCTAATGTTGCCATCATGTTAGCAAAGTGTAAACTGTCTCAAAATGAACCTTTTCTTGCTTCCTCCTCCTGGTTGAGAACAATGAGCAGGTATCGGGGGCTTTCAGGGCAGAAGGGCAGCATGATGCTCTGCAGTATGGCAGGCAGGATGGTCAGAGCCAGCAGAAGAGGCCACAGAGTGTCTGAGCCAAGCAGAAACTCCAGACCGAAGATCTAAAATACACAGGCAAAAGAGGTGCTTATAGTCGACTCATTTCATGTCAATTTTTTTCTGGTACAACATGATTCATTCACCCTAACAAACATTTTGGGCTATCTTGGCTTTATCAGAGTAATCTTTGAGGCTATTTTCTTATAAACTTGATCTATAGGTCACATGATAAAATGTCACAATATAAAAAGCAATAAAAACCATCAATAACATAATCACAGTGACATAATATCACAGCATCGTACCTGTGCCACCAGGATGCCAATAACTACACCGAGCTGGTGCAGCGTGCCAAAGGCTCCTCGGAGAGCAGTGGGAGAGATCTCGCCTACATACATGGGTGTCAGTCCCGTGCACAGACCGCAGAAGACGCCGATGATCAACCGGCCAACAATGACTATCTCAAAAGATTTAGTCAGAATCGACAGTCCCATGAAACCGCCGCCAATTACAGCCAGGATATTGGCTAGCATCATGGACTTGCGCCTGGTGATGAGAGACGAGGAAGAAAGAAGGACATAGCTTTAGGAAACGAGGGCTGCAACAAGCACGTTTTTTAAATGATCAATCTGTAGATTCTTTTCTGAGTTAACTGGTTAAATGTTTGGCATATGAAATGTGTGTGAGAATGTATATTTCAAAGTCTTGTTTTGTCCAACTAACCGTTGATTTGATAAAGAAAAGCAGCAAATCCTCATATCTGAAACTAGCCAATGTTTGCCATTTTTGCTAGTTAAAGGCTTAAAATTAGTAATTTCAGTCTCACAAACTGACTAATCCTTTCAGTTGTAAAGGAAATAATTCAGTAAAATGGCTTTTTTTTTTTTTTTTTTTTGCTGATATTAGTCATATTTAATAAATGTGTACTAATAATTCTGTAAAACATTTGGCTAATTTACTGTCTATCATATATATATATTTATTTTTTTACCTTTATTTATTCAGAGATATTTCACTGAGAGGAAGCGTTTTTGTTGAAGGAACACCCTTTTTCACACCTGGAAGCTTCCCAGTACAACCACAGTCTGTTGGGGTTAAGGGCACAGCATTTTAAGCCTGATGTTCTCACCTGCCAAATTTGTTGACCATGGCTCCAACAGAGAAAGACCCGACCATGCCTCCAATACTAAAGATGGCCACAGCAATACTCCACACCATGGTGTTGGTCCCTGGACTGAAAGGCTCCCCGTACCGCTCCATCGACACATTCTGGAAAAACCTACGCAGTTTCTGTCAAACCACAGAAAAGGGAGAGATTTAAGAAGGTGTTTCTCTTATGTGATTTATGGCTTATTTAAAAATCGTTTATGGTCTAACAGATGTGATAGAGCTTGTGCCTGATGTGTATTTGAAAGATTTTGACACATCCACATGGGGGCAGCATAGCTTGTAGCATCACTTCCTTCCAAAGCTGTGCTCTCAAATGAGACACATTAAAAGCATATCTAGCACCATAGCTCTAATTTAAGCCTTCTTACAAATCCACAGATACAGAACAATAACATAAAGGTGTTATTACAATATTAATATCAGAAAATGAGAGAAGATGTGGAATTGCATCTATCATTAATCCAGGGATGATGCCAACTCCCTTAATGGTTTGAATGATCATAAGAAATTAAAAATACTAAATGTCCATTACAAGAATTCAGCCACACACACACACACACACACACACACACACACACACACACACACACACACACACACACACACACACACACGCACCTGCTCTGGTGCATTGATGACCCCGGTGTTGTAGCCAAACTGTAGCGAGCCGATGACTGCTGTTGAAACACAGTACAGAAGGTAAAAAGTCACCTTCTTCTTCGGCTGTTGGGAGAGAAAAAGACAGAGACATATGACAGATGAAAACAATGAGCAGATGGAGTTTGTGTACAATCATCCCCTCAGTCCGTGTAGAGGACATGGCCTGTTCCTGCTTTCACAAAGCTCTGGTTGTTTATAGTGACACTGCTAAGTACACACAATGAGCCTTTCTGCATCTGCCCTCCCTCCTTTCTTTCAGCTTTCTACATTAACAACTGGCAGCGCTGCTGTGAAAGCTATAGGTGTTACAATACTGCTCAGGATCCATGATTTGCAGCTCTGAGGTATTTCTCAGCTAAGTAGCTAAAGGCACCCTGAGAGAATAAGACTGAATCCTATTGTGAGTGTTTTTCCCTGCTGGTTTCAGAATTAAAGTGGGCTTAGCTCCTAATAACAAGCTAATACACCTGACATTAATCCCCTACATGGCAGGGGCTGCTGGGGAGTGACATTTTGCAATATGTAAAAGTATCCAACCAGGCAGAACACCACATAGTAAATGGTTAAGTTGTAGTTCCAGGTCTACTATGTGGGGGCATCTAGCCAGAAATGGAAGTCCCCAATCAAAGGTTTCACTTTGATTTAACAACTAACCCAATGATATTTTCTGTGACAACAAGAACTTCTGCAAAGCTATTCTATCTAATGGCCAATGGCTAATTCAATTGCTTAATCATCCAGTTTAATCCGTCTATTTTTTTAAATCTGCCCGTTTCAACACTAACTCGACTATGCAACATCAGTAAAACGTTCCTGATGCATTATAATAGCTTGTTTTGCACAATTTATAATCACATCCGAGTCAAAAACACTTCTAGCAACAAACTATGTACAAAGTCGGGGCACAATGAGCTTTGTTTCACTGTACATGATATCCCTATCTGCACACATAAAATAACAAATTCCTCAAGCATCATGACACAGCATGTTCACTCAGAACAAACTGCCACAATCCGAGCAGCATTATGAAACCAAGGGGCAGTTCAAAGAGTCTCCTGAAACAAACTGTCTGTTCTTTCATATCATCAGCCACATCCTTATTCTGATTTACTGCGATAAAACAGAGAACTCAAGGTTTCTTGACTCCCACAAAAAAAATAGTTTGAAGCACACGGTATTTGGGGCTGCTGCTATGATCATTAAGTTACCATGAACAACTTAACTTACTTACTTACTTAAAAAAACAATAAATAACTGATAATCCTGATTATGCCACAGTGTGTTTCTCGGGGGGAGATCATGACCTTGTGACACGCAGACACGGACACAGGAAATTCTGCATACATGATAAACTGATAGTGAAGGGGAAATACTGAGTTCTACTAATAGAACAAACGCATGATAATAATGACGAGAGAAATAAGAAATACAGAGAGAAGGGATCTAACATTTGAGAATATAATCACATGAACATGTTAAATTTGTTGCAGACCATATTTGACTTTTGCCACAATATCACCTCAGATAACCTAACAGGAGGATTTGAAACATGCAAGGTGTGTTTAAGGTGGAGCTGAACTGGACTGTAGTTATACATATGTGAACTAGACAATTGCATCTGCAGCGACAAGTTAGTGTTGAGTAACATTTAGACAAGATGATTGAGCCATTAAATCACCCTCTTGCTATAACTCTAAAAAGGGAGTGGCCGACTGAGCAAGGAGCATTATGTGGTTGTACAGGCATGTATTCATTCTAGTTTTTGTGTGTTTTATACGTGTGCGTTGCATACAGTAAGTTACTTGTCAAATCAACAGCTAAGCACATAATGTTGCTCAATGTCTGCAGCTACAATATACAACAGTACTTTGTAGCTGAATACATATACATGGTCAGATTGTGTTGAACGTACTGTATGACATTCTGCTAGAACACTATGATGAATATGTAATAATAATCAATTACTGATTACCTGCCTCGTAATACAAATAGTGACAACTCGAACAAGCTGAAGCTTAAAGTGCTCTGACTCTCAATGTGGTAATTTGCTGTACCTATGTTTGGTTATTTTTTCCTCTAATATTCAATAATTATATAGAATAAACAACCTGCAGTTACTGTATTTCAACAGTTCATCATCTCGCTGAATATTCAGAAGAATGACTGTGAATTGTCTTTTTTTTCAACACTCAACTTCCACATTTATGTCTTCTTGCAATCTCTCTCTTATTCAATACCTCCCATTCACACCTGTTTCATTAGATTAGTTTTCTTTCTCCCTTTATATTCTTTGACTGTATTGCATTGATCCTTTCTTGTTTCTCTTTATCATGACTTTTGCAGCAATTCCTTTACACATTTCTTTCCTCTGGTGTGGTAAAAATATTTAGTAACAAAACTAGAAAGGCATATCTGGTGATTCTCACTTTGTGCAAACATTTTGCACAAGTCTTTGTGAGTGCATGCTAATATTCATAATGGCGGTGGGTGGTTACATTGCCACACATTATGTGAAATTCTTAAGAAACAGCCATGAAAGTGAAGTAACTGCATGCAATATGTTTCAAAAGATAGACCACAGGAAAGGTTTGCGAAAGTTCGCCATAGCAGCACAGTTTTCAGTCGCTTCAGACTCTAAGATTTGTGTATTCAAATACTATTCACCATTTACTAGATAACACTAACTCTCCTCTTTGTTATCACTAGGATCTCGCCCTGTTCCTCTGTCCTATAGTTGTCCTTTTCAAGATCTCTTTGTCACAGTAGTACTCACTCATACCACTTCACTCTACGCAGCATACCTGTACCAATAAAAGCAAGAAACTGAAACACAGTCAAGTTGAAACTTGCCACCCACCAGCCCCGTTTCCCACTTTTTCTCTCTAAGTCATGTCCTAAACTGCTCGACTCTCATCCCCGGTTCCTGCTCTTGCCAGAAAGGAAAAATACAGAATTGTCAGCCTGTGACTCGTAAATACCACACACTTATTCATTAGGAGGTGTTCTCAAAACAGGCTGAGAATAAAACAAACAATGGCTGAAGTCGGGCTGACGCACTTCCTTAGGAACCACTGGGAACTATCTTAAACTAACGTGTACAGTAATGTGCACACACTGTACAGCAGTGTCATATGTGCACAGTTTAAAGGTGGAATTTAAAGTCAAGTTTGCAAAATAATATGTATCAAAAAAATACCAACAACCCACAATAGCAACAAGAAACTGTTATAGTTACCTTCTCATCTTCCATCCGCTCCATCTTTTCTGCCTGATGGACGATATTCAGAAGAAAACTGACTCTTCTGATCACAAAGTGAAGCTTCTTAGACTGAGTTGTCTCTTATTCTTTATGAAGACACACCTCTGTGCAAACAGTCAGCAGGAAAACCTGACAAGAAACAAACACAAGAGCAATATGTCATATAGCAAACGTTCATTATATTTGTTCCAGAATAAATGTTTGAAGGATCTGAACTTCTTCAGCATCGGAAAATGGATCCTGTGTGTTATAATAGAAACTATCACTCTTTCCTATATCTCATACATTTCATATCGGTAAAGACTATTAGCTACAGACCTAATGGACTAGTGTAGAGCACTCTGCGGCAACTGAAGCACTTTTCTGCACTCAGTGAATTCAGCAGGAGTCTGAGCCCAAAATGACAGTAAACCACACCCTCTGCTTCCTTGCTCACCCTCCTCTTCAGCTCTCTCTAATTATGAAATGAAAAGAGAAAAGTGATGTAACTTCTTTTCAAATGAAATTACTGTCGCTTTTTGCTTAATTTAATAATTAGAAAGCATAAAATCTCGTCTGAATGGGCTGCAGAGACTATAATAAGTCCCATTGTCGGGATGGAGCCGCATGTGAGGCTGTACCGACAAGTGGATTCGACTACACATGTTTTATTGCGCGCAGTGAGATACTTTAACTGTAATTATTTAACAATAACAATACAGACAGGGAATTCCGCACCTCAGATTAACATCTGAGCAACATTTCTGACAGACACTGACAAACTGAATGAATCAATGAGCATGATGAATAAAAATAAATGTTTACCGTTATGAGGGATTTGTGCCAGTCTGTGTGTATCCAGTAAAACAATCTTGTCCCGACTTGTTTGCTATGACAAATGTTCAGTCCTCCCCTCCTGTCTGTGTGTTTTTTTATAGAAAGGGATACACGCTCATAGGCACGTTTCAGTGCTTCAACGTAGCCTATCTCTTACTCATACTTTACATGGAAGTTTGCGTAAAAGACGCATGGTTACCCATCCTGTTGAGTCGCGGGTCGTAATGTCAGTGGTAGCTGCGCAGATGTGTTTCCGCTCAGCTGAAGAGAAGGGGACGTGCTCGGATGAGCGTACGGTATACTGGGGCCAGAGATGGAGAACAAACGGGGCCGGTGAAAGGGGCCTCTGTACTGCTGCCGGGCCCGTCGGCTGCCCACCGGGGGCGCGAGAACAAAAGGCAAATGTGCACGGAGTTCAGATACAAAGCCTGGTCATGCAGAAATCATGAGACCGGCTCAGTGGGTGGCAAACAAATGGGGAGCCCTCCTAATTCTTCAAAAACTAATCTTCACAGCCCACTTAAATCCCAGTCAGGAATTTGACATGTTCTACAGAGAAATGCGAGTGAGGAGGGCGGTTTTAAAATCAATTTGGTGAGCAGGTTGGACCCTCAGTTTATTGTCTTTTTTTGTGTGTGTAACTTTTAATTAGAGGTCAAGGACTTGAGTTTGATTTTGGGTGACAATTTAATTATGATGGTTTGATTTCCTTGCCCAAAATGAACAATTTAAAGATGCAAAAGCCTCTCAGTGTCAGATTTTAGAGGTCAGAAATGCTGCCACTACTCCAGAAGATGTTGACCATGTGCCAAAAAGAGAGGAGCAACTGATGTTTTCATGTTACATTCATTTAGTTACATGTTCAATTCAACAGAGAAAAACAACACAACTACTGAAGAAATGTGGAATCCATGATTTGAAATATAGTCCAAAAACTGGAATTAATTCTCAGCTAAAACCTACAAACAATAGGGACATGACCTCTGTGGCCTCAGTGGCAGCTGTAGCCCTGATCAAGTATTATAGATCAAAATCAGTGGCAGCTGAGGGTTGAGGCCAACACTTTGTTTTCTAGTTTAATCCAACATTTGATAATGTAAACTGTTCCAGTGGGACATAAATTCATCTGTTTATTCCTGAGCTGAATGAGTGGATCAGAATTATGTTTGACATCAAAACTAAATACAGACTGATTATTCATTTACTTGTTTATTTATGTATGCTAAAAAAAAAAGTAAAGTGACACTTTAAAACAGCATCTAACCTCATGAAAGAGAGATTATTTTAACAATACACCCAAGTGACTTCTGTCTGAACTGTTGTTAACTCACCTCGGTGTCTCAGTATGAAACGTCACTCATTGCATCAGAATTCTGACACAAGATGACACGATGACGCAAACTGGAAAGAGGAGGTTGGGATGAGCCTTCAGCTGTAACCAAACTATGACTGTATATGTACATATGACCTTTAATGGGACGTTATGGTAAAGTTTCATACTATACAGATAAATATACCTTAGGGTACCTTAAATCTACAGGTCCACTCACATCGCTGTCGTGTAGTTGACAGCCAGAGTCCAGGGGAAAAAAGTGACCGGAAATCTGTTCTAACAGTGGATACATATGACAAACGTCAGGTTCTGTTTAGCGTGGATGGCTCCCTCCCTTTTTGTAAGTAAGTCTTCTGTGGAATCACAATTATTTCATCATTTCTGGAAACTACACTCTCAAGAAAAAAGAAAAGAAAAAAGGAACTAACAGAGAGTGACGTGAGAAGATGTTCCGGTTCAGAGCCTTCACTGCCCCAAGTGCTTGCAACATCTTCAGGAACTACGGCCCTCTGTCCCAGCATCCCATCTTGATCCTGTGAGCCGTTGCCAGGGAAACCAAACCTGCAGCATCTCTTACAGTGACCTGGCCTCTGTGAGCCAATGAAATTATAAGGCATCTGCAGAGAGCAAAGGCAGATACACAGAGAGAGGGAAGGAAGTGAAGAAAGATAAATGCACTCACTCTCTCTCTCTCCCTCACCATCACCCATACACACGCACGCGCACACACACACACACACACACACACACAAACACACCATTACAAACCACATCCTGCAGCCGCCTGAACCCAAAACATCAGTGAGTGCTACATGCAAAAAATACATTGCCCACATTTCACTACATATATTGTGAATATTTCAGCACTTCATTAACCTGTATATACTATTGACCTGTGGTAAATTACATCAACAGACAAGTTGTGTTTAAAATAACTTCATCATATATATTAATATTCTAAATGCTTGCATGATTCGATACACATTTCCTTTCAGTTCAGCTTGGCATTTTAGGTATATTAGCTAAATGTTGGGTCTTGTGAGTTTAAACATTATAAAGATGCATACATGTTGTACATACATATTTTATAGTGACAATCTGGTGGTTGAAGGTCAACAGTGTTAAAAGGTCATCTGTACCTTATAAAGACCTTGTTACAGAAGGATATAGTGTTGAGTAAAGTTTACTGTTGGTTTAAATTTGGTGCAACAGTGCCACCCTGTGTGTATGAACACACACTGGGACCACATGATGATATTCAGTTCTCTGGCATGTAAGATCACAATCTTATGAAAACAGTGTTTGTTTCTTAGTGATTTCCCTCCATTGACTCTTTTCATTTTTGCATGTTTTTGTTAAAACTTCACCTCAACAACTAAAAAAGTCTCATTAGTATCAGTACCAAGCCTGATAGGGATTTTATTCAGTTGGTAGATAAACTCAGAAGAGAACACACCCTTTCTGGCATGTCAGGACACATTGCAGCATTATTGAGGTGAATGCTTGCCAGTGGAGGATGTGGTGAGCTGGGGAAAAAAGGAAGATTACAACTGTGGTCTGAGACATGAGTGCCGATATTGTGACACAGTGTAATTAATAAAATTGGGAGCCTCAAGCTTAAAATGAGCCACCATTACAATGTGAAGTAAGCAGTGACAGGAAAGTCTTTAAATCCTGGTACGGTGAGGAAATGTGTTAGACAGCAATGGAGGACATAGATAATACCTCCACCATCAGGAAATTAATCAGGTAATAAATTATACAAATTTCATGAAGATGTCTTTTGGTAATTCAGGAAAACCTACATTTCTATTATTGTTACAAGAAGTCACTGATATCCTGCATCTTTTAGGATAGATGGTGTCCTATAGAAGATGCTGTGATATATAAACACAGATAATTCATAAAGGCCAAAGCCTCAGTGTTTTAAAGATAATCTTTGTTTCTGATATTTATCGGTGAAACCTTTTCATATCATAAATATTCTCTACGTTTTCAGAGCACTTGTGCCACCACGCCACCACTGACATTCTTCTATTTCCGTAACAGAGAAAAAAGGATGTCAAGTTAATTATGTCCACTTCCACCTCTGATGAATCACACTAATCTTCTGGACTTGCATCAGTTCAGTAAAGCGGTACAAATTTGTTGGACGGTGCAGTGAAGTGCAAACAACTACTCAGTTACCCAACATCAGTAAGTGGATTCAGCTCAACGGTGCCACAGTATGGTGAAAATGTTGTATTACACCAAAAAGCATTGGCTTATATCACCACCACTGCCACCCACTGGAACAACTATGTTGTTGTTGAGTTTTCACAGTACAGACCTGAGGGGTGTTTCAGAGAGGACTAAATTAACACTTTTGCAGATTACTGTGATGTCCATATAATTATCAGGATAGCTGAAGGCTGTGTTGGGTAATCCAGAGAGACTACAGGTCTCTGCAAGTTCAACTGAAAAAATATATAACCAGTTTCACTCCAAAATAACTACAAGAGAAGACATACACATGAAGAAACTTTTAGCAAAATAATAAATCATTACATTTTTGGACTCGATACAGAAACCCTAATGACATTAAGCTTGCCCATCTGAAAGATTTTCCCCACAGTAACTCGCCCTGCCTTTAATATGGATATGATTAGCTGTCACTGAGAAGACATTTCAGTTACATCTACCTGTGGACAGGTACAGTTACTTAATGTTCATTTCAGTGGCAGCCAATCAGGCATGCTTTGTGTAATTAAGTTACTTTAAGAAAAAAGGTTGTCTGACTTGGAGAAATGGCTCATTGGTAAATTCAATGAAACAAAGTACTGAAACTGTTATTGTGAACAACATTTTAATTAAATCTGCACTGTTGTAGAGTAGTTCACAATAGAGTCAGGAAACAAAACTTCAGACCTTAACATTAAGGGTAAAAAGTTGTGCGTGTTTAAGTTAATAAGGTTAATGACATCAATGTTGATGACAATGTGAAAGCTGTTTGAAGATGCCCTCAGGGACTCTACAGAAGTAAAGGTACGAGTAACAGAATGTCTTGCAGTGGACTGTCCTGATGATTTCAGATCTTCCCTGGGAAACTTCCATTCTCTATCTGCTCGTCCCATTTGCCGACCTGTTGGGAGACATTGGAGAAAACATTACAAATTAACGCAGAACTGTTGCTTTACATCCACAACAGTTTCATGTCAATCCCCAGAACATAGCACCAGCAGAGACTTGAGTATGGAAGTTCATTCTTGATCTTGGGAACAGTATGTGTGTCAAAATAGTCTCACAACTGTTGCATTTGATGTCATATGCAAACAGAAGGACAATAGTTATATTCACACCACTCAGGGGCAAGACTATCAGTGGGGGGAAAAAAATGGTAAAGCTAGCACACTTACTGCCTTTTATTAATGACAACGTTTCAATCCTAGATTGATCTTTGTCAGGTTGATGAAGATTAGAAGATAACTACATAATGCTACATCAGTTAGCCTTGGCTATCAATAACAATATTCAGTGTGTTCTTGGACACACTATTAGAAAATAGTTTTGTGGTCCATTCCCCTATAGGACACCTGACCATGCTGAGGAATCCTGTAAACTTACCCAGCTCATGGGACAGAGACTCTTGTAAACCCTCTGGTACCAATCACAGGGAGCCACATCCTGGTCTTTGGCTGACAGGGCCTTGTTGCACCTATGAAAGTCTGGAGCAAATAAAAATTAAAAAAAAGGACTCAAGGTTACTCATCTGACACAATGTTCTTACTGTAAACATCATAAACAAAAAGCCACTGAGGACAATCAGGACCAGCATTACGATGGTCCATCTGTGTACAACCAGAGCTCATCTTGGTTCTCTTTGTACTTTAGTAACAAGGTGTTCAAGCTTAAATGTTTGGTTTTTTTTTTTAACAAAACTATCTTCAAAATAATACTTCTTTTATAACCTTATATGGTTACAAAATAGGGCACTACACTCAATTTTGGCTTCTATGACCAATGGATTAATCAGAATTCTGACTCCAGGCGAGCATACAGTCTGAAATTTACAGAAGAAATTGATAAACAAGCATTATCTCATACTACCAATGTCATGTGGAGGTCATATTCTACTTTACTATTTTTATTTTTTCACATGAACATGTCTGACTAACAGATTTGTAAACTTCTGTTCACTGCCAGCTATCTTATGGTAAATGTGGTGGTTGTATCAACACAATATTGTATATGTAGACAATAGTCAGTAATTTTACTGGTGCACCTAATGTTAAAGTATTGCCACGGTTCCCACTCTTTTTAAGAAATCATTTTCCAGGACTTTTTTTTTCCCTTGACAATATAGGACAGCACTTGCTCCAAACAGTGGTCAGCCGTTGGTGGTCATCATTTGAGGGATGCTCCGTGTTAGCTTCCTCCAGACATAACATTACACAGCACAGGCTAAAATACAATTATAACTTTCCAGGACAACATATATTATTTCCAGGATATTTTGCAGGACACGTGAGAAACCTTTATGCCTGTGAAACTAACATTACAGATGTTGCACCACTATATACTTTGCATTTCTGTTTTCATCTGTAGTGCTACTCTTTATTTAGTACTATAATACTCTTTATATACTCTTTATATAAAGTACTATAGTACTCTTTATATAAAGTACTATAATACTCTTTATATATAGTACTATAATACTCTTTATATACTCTTTATATAAAGTACTATAGTACTCTTTATATAAAGTACTATAATACTCTTTATATATAGTACTATAATACTCTTTATATATAGTACTATAGTACTCTTTATATAAAGTACTATAATACTCTTTATATATAGTACTATAGTACTCTTTATATAAAGTACTATAATACTCTTTATATATAGTACTATAGTACTCTTTATATAAAGTACTATAATACTTTTTATATATAGTACTATAGTACTCTTTATAAAGTACTATAATACTCTTTATATATAGTACTATAATACTCTTTATATATAGTACTATAATACTCTTTATATATAGTACTATAGTACTCTTTATAAAGTACTATAATACTGTTTATATTAGTACTATAGTACTATATAAAGTACTATAATACTCTTTATAAAGTACTATTATAATACTCTTTATATTAGCACTATAATACTCTTTATAAAGTACTATAATACTCTTTATATTTAGCACTATAATATTCTTTATATAGTACTATAATACTCTTTATAAAGTACTATAATACTCTATAATACTCTTTATACATAGTACTATAATACTCTTTATATATAGTACTATAATACTCTTTATAAAGAGTATTATAATCTCTCTCTTTATTTAGGAGCATCTGGATCCACATGTCCTCACCCAGGTAGTTCTGGAAACAGTTGCGGGTCTGGTTGGTGTTGGGGAACCTGGCGTCAAAGGGAGCAGTCCTGTAGCCTTTGATCTTCTCCTCGATATTCTCAGCCATCTTTCTGAGCTTCAGTCAGCCGTCTGAACGATACTGATAGAAAGCACAGGGCGGATTAACAAACAGCTCACACACATCTCTCACAGTGTAACCTCAAATAGCGTTGTTTGGTAACGCGTTGTATCGTTACTCAATGGTAGTTTGTTATCAGACCTCTGGATAAACATAAGCAAGATAGTTAGCTAACAACTCTCGTCAAAAACAAATATTAAGAAGCGTTACTCGACTTCAAATACAAGTAAACATCGTTTATATAGCTTGGCCAGCTAATGCTAGCTGTTAGCTCGGTGCTAACCAGTTAATATATCTGGGTCTGACTGTTAGCGGACATATTTGAGGACGCCGAGTTGTTCCGAGAGTCTTTGTAGGTCAAAACACCAGAAAGCCAAACAAAGATACACTTAAAGTCTGTTAAACAGCACGACATTCAGGAGTTACCGACAGCTAACCTTGGGACGTTTCTCGATGTGTCCTCGGTGCTCTCCGGAAACACGTCCTTGCTCGTCAACGGCGCAAAGGATGCTGGGATATCATGTGTGGTGGGAAAGCCTGAGCAGCAGACATCCTGTAGCTAAATTTAGTTTTCATGTCCCCAACACCTGTTTGTTTTTTTTTATTGAGCTAAAACGACTGCAATAATTATCACAAGTCTTCTCTGCTAACGATACATCTGTGGGGGAAATGATCATTACTGTTGTTGCAGCAGGGAAACGATCAGAGCAAGACCAAATATCTTGCAAGAAGTGCAAACAAGAACTCCACCTGACTCAGAGAAGAAATTCACATCTCTCTTCAGATGACATGTGGTTGCCACTGAGCATCCCCCATGTTGTGTCTGACACTTGAGTGTAACATTGCACAGAAAGGAGGTAAGCCTGTCCCACTGGAGGCACCTGTAATAAGAGAAATCAGTCCATCTTACAAATATAATGCAACTGAGACACAATAGACACAATAGATTACAGTTAAATAAACAATGTTGCTTTATTGATATTCCTCACCTCAGAGGTTGGATGATCCACGCAATCCTCCAGTATGTTGGTGGCTTTAGGAGTAGCAGTATTGACAGGCGAGACAGATCAACTCATCAGTCATTGTTAAAGGTTTATGATTTTGAAATATTATATTAGGTTACTTAATATTGGATGCAAATATGGCCTCATCTCACCTTCTTTAGGACTGACTGACTTTAAGTTAAGATCAATATTTCTTTTAATACCAAATGGTCTTGTAGGCTTGAGAGGTGGCTGACAAATTTGTGTAGTAAGTGTACTCAGTAGTAAGTCCTCCTTCTGCAGACGACTCAATCACAAGGTTAAAAAATATGCCTAGCAACATTTAAAATCAACACAATTGCTTTTTTCATATATTAATCTTATTTATTGATCTATACACACGCTTTTCCATAACAAAGAGAGCTCTAGTCTAGTTTTAGAATAACTAATTGTCTGTCTGGGCTATTTCCAGTCAACATATGTAAAGTCTTCGAGAAGTCAAAGTCTTTCTTGATTTCTTGATCAACTGCTGTGTAAAGAAATCAGATTCTGATTCTTGACTCAAGTCATTGATAAAAAAAAAAAATAAGAAAATTTATGATGTAACCAGTTGAAGTCTGATGTTTTCAGTATTGCTTTTTAAATTCCTTTGCTCAAACATTTCTTTTTAATGTTTGACAACATCGGTCAGTAAGCCTATATTCTGCATTTGCCTGTTCCACATGTAACTGAAGCCAAAACACACCAGTTTATTGGCACTGGATGATGAATTGCTCAAAAATAAGACTGACAACCAGGCTAATTACAGTTAGACCTGATTTGTTGAATCAATATGATGCAGACAGTGACAACTAATAATAATATTAGGCTAATGTTACAGTACAGTGCTTGTTGTTTGAATTGAAGTATTCTGTTCTCTCCTCCCTCAGAGAAAAGTGGAGTAGCCTTTGAAATGGGACGAGGATTATTGACCCGTTATGACGTATTCAGTCTACAAATCCCGATTTCGGAGGATCCAGCCCCTGAACTGGGGCCACAATGACAGTCCCCTTTCTCTTTCTCCATCTTCCTGTTGAAGACGAGGTCAGAGATCACAGGTGTCTCTGTTGCTCCCTCTAGCTTCCTGTGTCACAGTGTGTGTATTTCCTTCATCCTCTTTCCAGCAAAACTTCAAACTCGGCCTGCTGTGTGTTTTGCGATGTGTCGCGATATCTGTTTTAATCCTAAAAATCACAACGCGTACCGGATTGAAATGGCCACATTCTTAAAAATCTGTTGCAGCTTTGAAACCCCGTTGGATGTAATTAAACTTTATTAGGACAAAACAGTGACACCACATTTCTGTTTAATCCAGACAGAAAGAAATATTTATGTCCAGACTCCTTTGTGGTGAACAATATCGTATGTAATATTCCCGACAAGCTCTCAAAGACTCATATGTGTATGTGTAAATTTCACTCGTCTCTTTCTACCAATCTCTCTCTCTCTCTCTCTCTCTCTCTCTCAGTCAGGATATAGGTGTTGTCCAGAGGAAAGGAAGGAAATTCTGTCACTTAGAACAATGGGCCTGTTTCTCTATCTATAGACCCAGAGAGGCTGAGAGCCAGAGGGAGAGAGGGTGCAGATCTTGTCCAGTTATAAGAAAATATATTTTAGTTAAAAGAAGAGCGAACCAATGGATATTAAGAATTAGAGATGTGTATGTAGATGTGTGACAAGTTTAGGCCTTTTTGAAAATGGAATTTAATCGCGGGGAAAAGGAAACATACAGGGTTATTAGATTACTTTGAGCTGCGTATTTGCATTTCGGTGGCGAAGAATCATCATAACACACTATAGAAGGATCACAAGTAACAGTGGGTGAGTGTTTTTTTTTTAATCTGATACCTTAAAGCATTTGAATATCTTTTGTTTACCATTTTGATTCTGTGGTTTTCAAAATATTCCACCACAACATCTAGGACAGGATGCGTGTTAAAAACCGCCGTCTCTTCTGTCTAGAAGGACAACAGTCGTTTTAAGGTGTGGACACACATGTACAAGATATGACAAGATTGGTAGTCTTGTCAGAAATCCTACTTCCAAACATGGTAGTTTTCCAGAGGAAATGCAGTGATTGTGTTTCGGCCTAAACATTCCTCCTGTGAGGGGAGAAAAAAAGCAAGTGTGATCCTTAATTTTGATGGTATTTATCATAGAAGTAACACAGAGAAATGGACAGGCTGTGACCTTTGGAGCGGGTATTTCCCTGTCAGTGCAACAGCTGGACCTGAATCCTACAAAAGATGCTTCCTGTTTGAGAATGGGAAATTCACGCTATGATTCTCAGGGGCTGATTGGGGTGATTTGAGTTAATTTCTTTTTGTTTGTTTTCCCCATGTTGACAACCTGCTGTAAGTATCCTGTTGATATTTTTTTTGATGGTGACATCATGCCATTGTTATATTGTTTCACGTCTGGCATTGCTGACACACATTCCTCGCTACAGTGTCGAGGTAGATTGAGAAGATTACAGTATCCTGACATACTGTAAACTATTGGATTGAAAAGCCACATTTAAAAAAAACATATGTGCATGTCTGTTTATACTGCATCCTTTCTGTCTCCCTCTGTCAGATGGAGGGGTCTGGCAGTCCTCGTTTCAGAAAGCTCCATTTCCCAGTGGGTCTTTGGATCAACTCACCCAGGAAACACTTTGCCAAGCTAGGGGGTCGCTGGCCCAGCGCTATCTCTGTCAAGTTGGTCTCTTAAACTCACTTTTTTATCTCCTGTCATGTGTGCTTGTTCTCAGGTTATGCAACCTTAATGCCATTATTGTTTAATTAGAATTCAGTGTTGTTGAATGAACAGTTTATGTTTTGATGTCATCTTATCTTACTTCCACTGTCATTAGTATCCTTCCAACTGTGTAACCTTTCCCTGTTTTATTTTAGTCCTTGTTGTTTGTCTGTGTTTAGTCAGTCATAATTCACAGCTGACTGGTCCCTTCCTTTCTCCTTCCTCTCCTCCATCTGTCTTCCCCTCCTCTGTTGTTCCCAGGTCGACCACCAGCTCTGACGCAGCCTCCCTCCACGAGGCCCCCTCTGCCCCTTCCTCTTCCCTTTCTAACTCCACCCCCTCGCTGGCTTCCCCTACCCCATCCCCATCTCCTTCCCCGGCCTTCCTCAGGCCACGGCCTGCTGGGCCCCAGTCCCGCACAAAGCGCCTTTCCCATCTCTTCCTACGAGGGCGCTCGAACAGCGACCGGGACCGGGCGGTGGGGGAGAGGGAGAGAGAGGTTTGGGCTCATTCAGCTGCCCCTTCCTCACACCACTACTTGCCCCCTGCCTCTTCCACTGCCCCGGGCCTGATCAAGATCTATGGGGATGCCCTCTCCAGTGGGGCCAACTATCGCTCCCTGCTGGCAAACATTCACTCTACAGCGAGGCAGCTCATCGCCCAGGTCATCACTCGGTACACTGAGAGAGAGAGGGAGGAGACAGATGACGCAGGTTTGAGAGAGGGAAATTTTCTCTCATTTGGACCTCTGCTACGACCCATTACTGGGAATTGTTTGCTCAAATTTTTTTTGACCAATTGGGAATGACTTAATATAAACATAAACCGCAGTGTAGTGTTATGGAAAAATAATTACCCCCCCCCAACTCTCTTCCTCCATTACCTTCTAGCTCTCCAGAAATACAGCCCAGAGGACTTCCTGTTGTGTGATGTAATTGGAAAGCCCATCCAGCAGCCAGATGGAGCTATCAAATGGGAGACAGAGTGCCGGAGAAGCGTTGCCCCATGGGAATGTCCCTTGTTGTTAGTGGACATGTGGCGGCCTAAAGACGGATTTGAGCGGCGCTTTGAAATCCAAAGAAAAGAAGACTATGAGAGAGAAGAAAGAGAAAGGGAGAAGGAGCGTGAGAGGGAGGGAGAGAACTGTCAAGGTATGTTTAAGACTCAACAGGCAGATATGTTACCATGTAAATTAACTCTTATACATGGCACAGGGTCAGACTGACAGAACCTCTGACTGTCTTGACCACAGGTGTGCGCTGGCGTCGGAGCAGGATATCATCAGGGGGAGGACCAGAGGAGAGCGAGCGGGGTCACCGTGGAAGGAACACGGAGCTCAGGAGGAGCATCAGTGACATGAACCTGAGTCTGCGGCGTCGCCAGGGCAACCACACCAGCAAAGACCCCCGTGGCTCTGGCAACCGGCCTAACAACAACGGAGGAGTGCAGGACAGGAAGAATATAGTGAGCATGATCAACCAACAACCAGGAGAGGTAATGAAGACGATGTGGTGAGAAAAAATGGAATTAATTGTGCTTTTGGAGTTCTAATCATCACGTCTTCACCCTCGTTTTCAGATTAGAGCTTCAAAAGCAGAAGCAAAGGTCGGGTGGATGAACCAGCCAGCGGAGGACGAGAAGGATTACTCAAGCTGCGACCTGGAAGTGATGTCACAAAGTTTGATCCTTCCACCCACAGACCGGCCCTTCTTCCTGTTGCTGCAGGGTTATGATCAGAGCAAGGCAAGACATGCTGACAGATGATATCGCACACACACAAACACTCACAAACGACACTCACACACACACGTACACTATG